GACAAATTAATAGCATAGTGTTAGTGAAAACAAAATTAAATGAAAAGAAAACAAACAGCATACAATATGAGCAATCAAGAATAATTAATACACTTGTTTATTAGAATATTTAATTCTCTACTTTTAGTTTTGTGCATATTTAAATTAAAAATGTAGAATTGAGAGTAAAGCAATAAAGAGTTAATTGGCTGAGAAACCAAGTCTTTGAGGAAATGCTAAAGGAAGTGAGTCATTTGAATTGAAAAGAAGGGCAAAAGAGCCTTTTTCTGTAAATATATGCTGAACACCACAGGAATTTTTGGATATAACTATCATATTTTTATAGGGATTACAATAGGAACTAGACTTAAAGTAGGGCCAAAGTAGTTTAGACTACAGTATTTATTATTAAGAATCATGATTAGAAGTCTGAAGAAAGCAACATATTAGCAAGAAAGGTTGCAAGTCACCTTCCTTTCTTTCTTTTTTTTTTTTTTGGAGACAGTCCTTGCTCTGTCACCCAGGCTGGAGTGCAGTGGGTGCGGTCTTGTTCACGTGCAACCTCCCCAACCTCCTAGGTTGACAGGATTCTCCGTCTATCTCAGCCCTCCTGACGTAAGCTGGGATTACAGGCACGTGCCCCCATGCCCCAGCTAATTTTGTTATTTTTAGTAGAATGGGGTTTCTGACCTCAACTAATCCATCCACCTCGGCCTCCCAAAGTACTGGGATTATGGTGGTGTGAGCCACCGTGCCCGGCCCACCTTCCCTAGATATTTTTTCTGGAAAGATATAGTGATGGGATTCTAAGTCTTTAAAGCTGAACTATATGTAATTTTTTTTCTCCTCTCTAGACTTATAAAATCTGCTTTAGGAGACAGAACTGGGCTTGAAGCCTTGTCTTTCAAGGACAAAATCCATGCAAGACCAAATAGTAACTACTGATACATTGTTAGCTTGGATAACTTTTTCTCTTTTTCATCCATGATGTTAATTGGTGAGACATTTTGATCTTCGTGCTAACCAACCTAACTTTTAAATTTCATTTAGGTGTTGGAGCAGGTGATGGATATGATCTAAAAGTCAAAATAGTAATAGAGAAAAAGGTTGTCTTTTCCTGTACTTATTTAAGAAATTGTTAGGTAAGAGAAAGCATGTGAATTGAAAAAAATCTGATGTTTGTTTTAAGGCTGAATGTCAAAGCAGCAATATTCACCTCCCTAAACTATCACTCACTGTAGAGAGTCCATAACGCTTTCTGGTTACCATCCAACTTGATGTCACTGGGTTTGGTTGCAAACCAGAGATAAATTAACCTGTTTGTTCAAAACAGTTTTTTTAGGGTACTTTCCAGAATGTATTTCTGTTCAGTGTTGCTTTGCCTTTCACTTTTCCATAAATGCTGAGCATGTTCCCAGGAATGTGTTAAGGATTTTAATTTACATATCTGGTCTTTACAGCCATATTCTCTTGTTGTTCATTTTATCTTTAATTATACAGTACTGATTCTAAAATTTTAGTGTGCATGAAAACCACCAAGGAGCTTGTAAAGATTTACATTCTTAGGTTGTACCCCCAAAGTGTGATTCGGGAAATCTGGAATGGGGGCCAGGAATCTACAGACTTAGCAATGTCCCAGGTGATTCTAAGTCAGACGTTCTGTGGGATGACCCTATGAGAAATAATGCAAGAGTGAATGAACTGGGGAGGAGTCTCTTTATCCAAAGCAAAAAGGACCTGGTAGTCAATGTTTTGCTGCAATGAAGAAATGCCTAAAACTATATACCTTTTCTGAAACAATAAGAAAGCTTCCTTCATGGGTCTAATAACCATAAACTTTTCCTACCCAGGCCTTTGTCTCAGATTCTTCTGTTACCCTATTCCTTCCCTCTCTGCATCGCCCCCTCTCTCCTGCTCTTTTTTTGGCCTCTCTCAACTGAGGGCATTCACCCAGGCCTGACCCTTGGCTTTCTGTTCTTAGCAAATGCTTCATTCTTGGTTGAAGAATGACCCATTCCCCTTACTTAAACTATTATTTGTTCATTTACTGGTCAGATGTTTATGAGAACCCACTGAGTTGTAGATGCAGGAGCTACAACATGAACAGTTTCCACTCCAACTCAAATGCATTAGCCAGTCTGAATTGTCAATGAGCTTCCTCTGCTTCTGCAAATGGCACCAGCATTCTCCGACTCAGGCCTTGTGCTTTGATTCTCTTTGCCTCGGCTCCCTAAATCCAGTTAGTTATCAATTCCTGCTGATTATGCCTTTGAAATTTTTCTGTGTTCTCCTTCCTTTCTGTTCTCACTGCCACTAACTGTCCGGAACCTCATTTGCTCATGCCTAGATTTCTACAATGGTCTCCTTACCTTTTCTTTCTCCTTATATAATGCAATGTATAGAATCCTCAAATATGCATCCTGGAATATTCTCTCATTGTGAAAAGTTGTAGGTAGAGCAGAAGACACACTGTGTGCCCGTGATCAGAGCCAGTTCACACCTTTGGCCCAACATCCTTATCTGTAAAATAAATATCTATCTCAAGTGTTATGGGAATTAAATTAGATAATATATATGAAGTTTCTTTGTAAACTATAAATCACTAAATAAGTGTTATATGTGATAATTATCAGGCATCTTTGTCACGTAGGAAATGCCCCACCATATTCTTCAACAACTTCACTCTTATTTCTTTGACTCTTGAGCTCTTAAGATGTAATAGCCCTAATGTAATACCTGAGCTTTTTCCATCAGTAGTTTGACCAACAGACTTCATTCCAAATAAACTGGGTCATCCTCTTTGGCTCTTGGAACACAACTCTAATTTATTTAGTTAGTTAGTTGGTTATTTCTTTCTTTCCTTCCTTTCTTCCTTTTCTTTTTCTTTTCTTGAGTCAGGGTCTCATTCTGTCACCCAGGCTGTAGCACAGTGGCATGATCATGGCTCACTGCAGCCTCGACCTCCTAAACTCAAGCAATCCCCCAATTCTTTTATTTTTTGTAGAGCCCAGATCTTGCTATGTTGCCCAGGCTGGTCTCAAACTCCTGGGCTCAAGCAGCCTTTCCACCTCAGCCTCGCAGCGTGCCAGGATTATAGGCATGAGCCACACTGCCTGACCTTTTTTGTTGTTGTTTTTCTGATTTCTTTTTTTCTTTTTCTTTTTTTGAGATGAAGTTTCACTCTTGTTGCCTAGGCTGGAGTACAATGGTGCAATCTCGGCTCACTGCAACCTCCACCTCGTGGGTTCAAGTGATTCTCCTGCCTCAGCCTCCCAAGTAGCTGGGATTACAGGCATGCGCCACCACGCCTGGCTCATTTTTGTATTTTTAGTAGAGACAGGGTTTCTCCATGTTGGTCAGGCTGATCTCAAACTGCCGACCTCAGGTGATCTGCCCGTCTTGGCCTCCCAAAGTGTTGGGATTATAGACATGAGCCACCATGCCCAGCCTATTTTTCTAATTTCTATTTCGCATTATTGCTGGTCTTTTTCCCTCTGTATGGACTAGATTCTATTTTCAGAGCCCTTCTTCCTCTATCTAAACTGTTTCATGTCCAATTCAATTTTTACCTCCTCAGTGAAATTTTTGCATTCTGCACCTCGTGTTAACTAGCCCCCAATAGTGCATAACAGCACACCCAGTCTTCATTATACAGATTGAGTTATATATCATTCTACTATTGTTTCTTATGTGTACAGCTTCCTGAAGAAACCTACGGAGTCTGTACCTCCTTTTGTGTTTTTCACAGGACCTCGACCTTTCTTACTGTGGGTGCCATTATTTACAGGAGAGTGAGTCAAAGAAATAGTATAGCTTCGAAGTCATTCATTCCAAAACTTGACCTATCTTTGGTCACTTCATCTACCAACCTGCAATGGTCAAGTCCAAAGATCCCATTGACAAACACAAGAGTTCTGATAAAACATGATGAGTAGGGGGACCCTGCTCTCCCCCTCCCTTGGGAGGGGCGGGTGGACCCACCGCCCAAGTGTTACAGGCCCCTGGTGTTATTTTTTAAATTTAGAAAATAAAAAACCTTGGTGAGTTACACATTGCTTTTTGAATGTCAATGCTAGCTTTAAAGTTGAGCTTCTTAATGTATTCTCAAAAGAGGCCCTAACGCATGAACATCAAATGACACCCATTAAATTATAATAATTAATTGATTAAAGTCTAATAGAAAATTCAATATTTTTTAAAAGTGAGGCACTTTTTAACAGTGCCTCATGGGCAAGCATGGTGGCTCATGCCTCTAATCCCAGCACTTTGGGAGGC